AATTAAGGCACAAAGCAGAGAGGGCTTAGAAAATAATGAACTGTTTTTAATTTGCCTCATTAAGCTGCTGTTAACTACTTAAATCCATCTGCTTAAAAATAATTTACACATCTTAAGTTTGCTCTAGAGAGCAGGTAGACCTTCATTAGAGCAGGTTTTGTTATTAATGTTATCTTTAGGGGGCTTTCAGTTGTGCAAAATACTTTATTGCTCACTGAACCAAACTTTCCCTGTAAACAAAAGGAAGTGGCACATGTTTGTAACTTGCAGTCTGATGCCATAACGGTATTCTTGGGAACCACTGCCGTTCATTTAGAAACTGGCTTGCTGTGGAGGAAGTTATTTACAGCCATTAGGTAGATCTGGGTACGAGAAAGGAGAATGAGCTATGTGAATGCCTAGTATCCCTATTACCTACTACCATCCCCAAACAATTAGTCCTGGAGTGGAAGAACAGCCAGATCTGTCACAGTGCGTCAGCTGTAATTGAGGAGGGGGAACCCTGCTGCCTACGCCCTGAAGAGCTAGCTGAGGAAAAACAAGTTTGTCTCCCCAGATTTGTAAAGAACCAATTTCACTTACAGAGAACAAATCACCAGAGCGCCACAGACTCTGCCTCCTATCTCAAGCTGAGATTCATTGTCATTTCAGTTAGATAGCATGTACGCTCCTTTCTGACCTGCCATGTATTTCTGTGCTTTGCTGCGAAAGAATTGTCCTGGCTCTCATCAGAGGAGACTGTTTCAGCAGTGAGCTAATGAATTGCTGATATGAATAAGGTCGTTTGGAGTGAAACTAGCTTTAGAAATATTAGATGACGATGGTGTGAGAATTTAAAAGAAAGTCCTCCACTCAGTCTGTGGGAAAGAGGTGGTTGTGACTTTTGGAATATTAGCTGAGACACAATATTTGACTAAATATAGATCTTCTTTTATCAATAAATTAAAAACTCATTAAAATATTGCTATGAAATTGATTGGGGGTTTTTTCAGTTGCGTGCTGTTTATTAAGAAGAAAAATGCCAATATTTAACAGAATGTAAATCTTTTGAAGTATCTGAGCAAAAATGTTGCTATGAACTGTAAATATCATTGTGTTTCTATTAAGATTTTATTTGGCTCTTTCTGGCAAGAGGAAGCCTACAAACAGGCTGACTGCACAGGTTTGCACACAATGTGCTTTCAAGTGTGTGACAAACCAGAAAAAATACAGGGCTTTTTCTAATTGCTTTTGGTTGTAATAGTCGAAGGTATTCTTTGCAACTGCAGCTGCTATGTGTTTTAGTTTAAAATAAGACTTCCCAAAGAATCTTTGACTGGAATCCTTTTATGTTTGCCCAGTCTTCAGGGCCTACATTTGAAAAAATGGGGAATGAAGAAAATATCTTAATTTGTCTTGATTGGAAGGAATGAAAGTTCTAAAAATGTATACATGTCATTGAACAGAATATGTGGCTTCTGCCATATTTGATATGCCCTCATACTTCTGTTCTCTTTGCTATATTTGTCTTAATCTGGAAAGAATTTTACTTCAGGATTTTACTGTGAAACACTTCTTCACAGTAAAAACCTTTAAATGACATAGAGCTATCAAATAATTCTTGTAGATCAAATATGTGAAAACTTAAATCCATTTTTAAATTTGCAAAATACTTATAAACATTTTAAACATAATATCTTTACAGCTGTCTACTGAAGAGTACCCAGTGCCAAGACACTATTGTAAAGTCAGTTATTCAAATCACAAGTTGTTCCTCTTTAGTACTCTGGATTGACGTGCAATCTTAGGGCTGATTGAAAAACTTCAAAATATTCTATGTGCAAAACGTTTTTATGAGCAAAACATTTTGAGTTGAGCTGAGTTAAATCTGAATCCATCTGAGCCGTAGCTCAAATAGCAGGAATGAGTGATAACCACCATGGACCTTCTGATGATAGGTTTGGGTAGGGAGCTTTGTTTATAGGAGAGAATGAGATGTGATGACCCAAATCTACAGTTTTCACCAGCTATACGTTTGCTAAGGAATCTTGAAAAATATTTCTTTAGCATTTCCACTCTAGGTGAGAGCAAGTTGTCAAAGTCCTGCAATCTGTCACAAAATGTGTTTTAATTTTCAGTCATTTCTACTTATAGTCCTTACACAAAATGCAGAAAATTCTGCTTTAGCAACACCTTCTGATGCTAGCAGAAGACCTGAAGATCTTGCCAGGGGGCAGTTAATGCTGCTGTAGAAATTGGAAGACTTGCTGTGCTTAAACCTCAGTTCAGCTGCTGCGGTGGCCTCCTTTTCACTTCCACCCTCTTTTGGCTATTTTTTGCAGAATTGGGGGGGGGGGGGGTGTGTGTGTCAGGGAAATAAAGACAGCTGTATCTCAGTGCAGTCAGCCCCCTTGAAATACTGCTTCCCTTCTGTGTGAAAGAGGTCTGTCTGTGATGTCTTATCATGTGTGACGACCAAATATATTTCATCTGTCCCTTTCCTGCTGCTGAAGAGAAGGAACAGAATCAGTTTGCCCGTTCTGACAGGTCTACCCTCTGGTCCAACTGTGAAAGGCATCAGCTGGGGAGCGGAGGAGCCCACTGTTTAATGAGAGAGGAGCCTTGAAAACTCCTAGCAGTTGAGATTTGGAGTGAGGTATGCGAAATGGGAATAAAGAAAACACTGCTGCTGGGAGCTGCAAAGCCCTCAGAAGCCCTTAGCCTTACCATGTTTGCTTCTCGCTAGCTGAGTGGGAGGAGGTTCTGTATCTGAGAGGCTTCTGCAGCTCTGTTCTCTGAATGCACGAAGAAGGTGCAAAAAAGGCTGTCTAGGGGATGGCTCCGAGTCCTGTGTGTCCCGATGCTACTGGTTCCTGCATTCCCTGTACTTTCATCTAAGATGAGAAGCAATGTGGAGGTGGAGAAGAGCTGCTGACAGGAGAGAAAGACAGTTCTCAAATGACTGCCTGAAGAGGTAGACGTGAAACGGGGCATGTTTCTGATAATCGACTTTGGAAACTCATCTGGAATGTGGATTTCTCTGTTCAGGAAGTAAACCTTTTCCACTCATCTTCCTGCTCTTTCCTGCCCCGAACCCAGCTGGAGCTGCTACAAGATGAACCCTGCTGAGGGTTCAGCAACCCTGTCCTGGTTGGGCACTGAGTGCATCTATGAAAGAAATCTGGCAGAGGAGCAGCACTGACTCAAGTGACTGAGCTCAGCTGGGGAGGAGGCAGCAGCTTAACAGAAGTAGTTTTAAACCCTATCTCTTGTGAAGACAGTCCTTGAGTAGTGCTGACATGAGGTGTAACTTTGAAGTCTTGGGATGGTTTGTTTATTTTTTTCTGAAAACAACAGGCCCTTAGTTCTTGTGTCTACTTGAGAATGTAATTGTGCGTTGAAGGAGTGATTTCTAGCCTTGCATTTGTGGAAGAAAGTGACTCGTGACCTGAATGCCCTCTTACAGCTCAGAGCTAGAAAGCATATGAAAACTCATTGTTTGTAGTTAAATCACTGAGTAGCTGGGTGTGAAAAGGCTGTCTAGGAGATGCTGAGATATAAGAGAAGGGCATGAAGTAATTTGCTTGAAATTCACAACCTGAAACCAAATGGGGAAGCTACAGGTTTTCTGTTTGCTCCTTCCTTTGTTTAGAAATCCATTGGTAAGTAGCAGAGGAGTCAAGAGGCAGCTAGAAGAGTTAGGATAGAAGCATCTAGCAGCTCTAACCTCCTACTCACATCTTCAGAGACAAGCAGACGTGCTGGGGCAGGACGGTGCTTGGAGGAAAACGGAACAGAAGGAGAGTTCCAACCTCTCTTTTACACCTTTATCCCAGAAAGACTGTGAATAATACCACTTTTTTGAGGTACTTTAGAAAAGGAAGTATTGCATCTTTTCTTTTTTTCACCCGGTAAAAGGGAACTTGCATGACTGTAACAGCCATGCTTAGGGCAGTGAATTTCTGGCATTGTGACAAAATTGGTCTTAAACATTTCTTTCGCCTAGCTTCAGCAGACTAAGACTGTTCTGGTGCCAGCGTTTTGGGGGCTGTAACATTGGGAAAGAAAAGGTTATGTGCTGTTCTGGTTGGAGTCACTTATTAAATCTCATAGAGCATACTGCTTTTTGAATGAAGGGTGTACTGAGGGAGTGCTTACCGTGGCTGGAACAGGAGCTCTGAGACTGAGTCAGGCCATCAGTAGGCTTTTTGTGGGGAGGTATGATAGTTCACCCAAAGAGAAACATAGATAGTTCTCATGTGGTCTGTCAGCACAGAATAGTGATGACTCTACTTGTGAAAGGCAACCTCTGCAAGGAAAAAAAAAAAGTGACAAAAAAGAAATCTGCGTGTTAGGAGGTCCAGTTTATGTGGTGTTGGATTCTAATAGTTGAGCAGCCTTTCCCTGTAGCACATGGCATGGCTCTGCATGGCTGCTCAGGCACGGTGGAACAGAGCAGGGCTTGTGTTGTACAGTGCAAAGGCAATTTGCCTCCCTTTTGACTGAAATAATTTAAATAACATTTACTTTGAGAAGTTCATTAGTCTGTTAAGTAACTACCTTGTTGGAAATAAAAATCTCCTGGAAAGATTGGATTCTGTGTAGTTCATGGCAGTTCATAGCCAGTCACATGACCTGGTTGCATCCTAGATACAGAGATCTTATGGTTTTTTATATATACTGTTTTTACATATATAAAAAAAAAATTTAAAAACCCCTAAACCCTACCAGCAAAACAATTAGGTTCTGTAAAAACAGAGGTTAAATTACATTTTTTTTTTATATGAGGGGTAGCCTGTGCAGAATGACAAATAGTGAACACATACAGCAGGTTTCCACGCCTATGAAGTAAGTTTGGAGGGGATAGGGGATGCAGTGCAGCTTTGTCCTGCTAAACAGGCTTAAAATATTGATAATTCTACAACAGTAGACCTTAAAAACATAAGTTTATATTTTGAATAAATTTAAGGTGCTATTATGTAACAACTTCAACTTTTTTTTTCCCTCTTTCCCTCCTACAGATCACACATCCGTGGGCGGGCTGGGAGACAGTTTTTATGAATATTTATTGAAAGCCTGGCTTATGTCAGACAAGATGGACACGGAGGCAAGGAAAATGTACGACGATGCAATTGAGGTGATTATAATTCATTGAGGGCTCTGTTTAATAGATAGGGGAGGATGAACCCGTAACCCGTCTTTAATACTTTAAAAAAAAAAAAAACAAACCAAAAACAAAACCCCACACAGGACTTGTTTTGATTATGTAAGTTTTAAGAAATCAAGTGATGAATAATACTAGCTTTCACTCTGAGTAGTTTAAAAAGTATTATTGTGGAATACATCTGATGCAGATTATTGTGCTAAAAATAATCAGCTTGTCCAAAATGGTATAGTGTAAAAGCCCAAGCTATAGCTTATTAGAAAGAGATCTAACAACCTTAAGATGTGTGCAGAACGACCAAGTCACTTTTCTCCAGTGTTCAGAATCATTCTAGGAGTTGAAGTCCTGAATTGTTTTATTCTTTAAATTATTTTCTAAAACGTTTAGATGCTATACTCCATATTTATCTTGTAAAATGTAGTTCATACCTATTCCTTGCTCTATGGTTCTTTTGTGATATGGTCTCACAGACCAAGTAGTGCTTGCCCAAGCGGGGCAGTACTGCAGGATGGTTCAGTGGGATTTGGGGTGGGGGCTTTTTTGTGGTGGCTCTGAGCTTTATGCTGCCCAGCTTTTACTTTCTTAGTTTCCCCATACACAGGCATCTTCTTTCATCAGGCTTGCTTGTGCCCATATATGCCAACATGCCTATGCTACAGTTAAGACACGTAGAGAGTAACTAAGCTAGTTTTAGTCAAGTTAGCTGTGGTACTATCAGCAGCAGGGATCATGTAGTCTTGTCCAAGTGCAGATATGTGCTTGGTGCCTAATTTGTTCCATGCCCTGTGCATGCTGTGTTTCTTTCAACACAAGCTTTTAACGCTTAGTTTTAGTGCAGTCAGTCTCCTAAAGCAAAACACCCGTTCTTGGAGTTCTAAAAATTCACATTTTAAAAGATATATACTGAAAGTTCTAGTCCAAAATTGCTTTGAAGCTGTAATACGTCTTGTTCCTGACCTGAATTTGATAGCTTTCAGCTACTTGAACTTTTTCCTTCCCTACATTGTTTTAAAGTGTTATCTGCATCATGTAGCTGGTTACTAACAAAGGTACAATAGGCATTCTCTCCTGAAGGACAAATGCATTCTTTTCTTTAGTCTCACAATATAAAACACATTCTGAATTATTTCTTAAGTTGTTTTCGAAGTACTTTCCAGTGTCGTCAGTATGGAGACAAGAATGTAATGGTTCTTCTAATATGTCATTGCCTGATTTCTTCTCAGTACTCTCCTCTTCATCCAGCCAAGAGCTGTGTTTGCACTCTTAACCTTTGCCTCACACTGTCATCCACTTTCCAGTTGGTTTTACTCTGAAGTTGGTTATAGGTTTTTTTGATTTACTGCTTTCCTACTACTGTGATTTACATTCCCGATTCCTTGATGTGTGACCTTATACTTATCTCTATTAAAACACAATTGTTCAGGCAAAACCCATTTTGTCACCTGTTTGGAATGATTTTACAGGACTGACTCTTCCTTTATCACTATCTATAGTTCCATCAATTTTTCTGTCATCTGCAAATTTTTTTTTAGCATCTTATACTTATCTCTATTAAAACACAATTGTTCAGGCAAAACCCATTTTGTCACCTGTTTGGAATGATTTTACAGGACTGACTCTTCCTTTATCACTATCTATAGTTCCATCAATTTTTCTGTCATCTGCAAATTTTTTTTTAGCATTTAGAACCATAGAATCATAGAATAGTTTGGGTTGGAAGGGACCTCTAAAGGTCATCTAGTCCAACCCCCCTGCCC